ACTGGCAGACTGTAGATATTAAAAAGCAGTCAGGTCATTTAAAGGGAATGAGATACACGTTACACTTAGGGCTGACTTCCTCTGAAAGCACCGGGCTCGCTGGTAAAGGTCACATACGTGCACAACACCCACCACGGTTACATACCAACTTACACGTGACAAATTGCCTGGCTGTCCCACTGAACCAGACAGCTACACACAAACACACGCCATCGAACAGGCTTCGATTTGCAAACAGAATCAGACGTATTTACACTGCACAGGTGTACAGGAAGAATCGCAAGGGCCAGACGCCCTCTGAGCCCCCACTTCCCAACACAAATCCCCAAATCAAGGACGGGGGTCACTTCTCAAAGGAGGTGAAAATACATCAGGACAGCTACTTTGCCCATTAATGCTCGCTCACTTTCCTCAACCTCAATGCAGCAACTATTGGTTTGAAAGACAAAAGATGGCATTAGTGCAGCATGTTTCGTGACCAGCTGACGCAATGTGCACGTGAAGTGTAGTCACTGTCATTGCATGATGGCTCTAACCAGGGATCTGGTCGTCTTTTTCTGTTGTGTGGGAGGTCACTGAGTTTGTCCAGTTTGTCACTCAGAGGCTTGGAATGGTAACTTTTCCAGCTGGACAAGTTCCCGAATTCTGCAACAAATGCCAGGAGAAAAACCCAATGCGTTTTCTTTTAACATTGCAGTGATACTAACTAAAGGAAGGGTTGGGATAAAAAAGGGCTGTTTGATCAACAACAGGAACCACCCAGACAGGGAAGCAGTTTGGTTTCCACAAGGAGTGGGTCCTCTGACATTCCCAGGACAAATATTTGGGAGAAAGTTGGCATGAGCTGAGGGGGGTATGGGCGAGTGTAGGAGGGGGTAATTTCGTGATGAAACCTTCAGGAACGTGTGTCAGCAGAGACCTGGCCAGGTGCTGTGTGATCAATGAAATACACCTCTGGTGAAGTCAGGACCGTGGAGACCCCATCCTCCCTAGGTCAGACTACAGACAGTCTGAATCCACACTGCACACCGTATCAAACATGCCGAGTGTTCCTCAGCCATGAATCCTACGCTGTCACGGTCCAAATAAGGCGGGACCACAATGCTGATTTGTAGGACAAGGTTAGTGATTTCTTTACCATAGCATGACTAAAAGCTGCTGCATAAATGCAGCTTTTGAGAGAGGACTGGGATAAGGCAGACTGAACAGGATGGTTGGTCCTCCACTAAGCATCTGAAGCAAGAAGGGGATTGAAGAAAGAGAGAGAGATTTAGACAAGCTCCTATATCAACACCAAGTCACACTGGTCTATCTCCAACAATAGTAGTCACTGCAGTACCGAGGCTCAAATCTACTAGGGGCTATATGATTGAAGAACATATAATGCTCTAGGGAACCGTATCTGCACAACCAGACTCTGAGGTTTCTTTAACGCCTCACTGTGCTATCACATTGCATCAAAAGGGGCTGATCGTGTCTAAAAGCATTGCAAGTCAGATTTATTTTAAAATACTGGCACATACTGTTGACACAGACAGGATGTAGATAGCCTGAAGTCCAACACTATATACATTATCACAAAGTTTATTTTTGAGTTTTATCACTCACAGACAGTGCTTAGAAAAGTCCAGACCTTTAGAACCAACAATGATCAGCCTCTACTTTATTTGGTAAAGATGATTAGGGGAAGACACATCCTTGCTGTCTGTGAAGGTCACTAAATGCAAAGTTGGCATGGAAACCAAACAAGGACTCAGTCCCTCCATCCAGACACTTTGCTGTAGAATTGATTCTCTAAGTGGAAACTTGTTATTTTTTCCTTCTTCATTAATGAGGGGTAAGGCAAAGCAGTGAGCTAGCTTTGCATGTGTGTGTGCCTGTGTGTGTGTGCCTGTGTGTGTGTGTGTGTGCGCGCGCGCGCGCCTGTGTCTGTGTGTGTGTGTGTGTGCCTGTGTGTGTTTGTGTGTGCCTGTGTCTGTGTGTTTGTGTGTGTTTGTGTGTGTGTGTGTGTGTCTGTGCCTGTGTGTGTGTGTGTGTGTGCCTGTGTGTGTGTGTGTGTGCCTGTGTGTGTGTGTGGGTCATGTAAAATTCCAAAGCTCTGGGACCCCAGTGCCCACTTTACAAGGGCCCAGCATCCCAATCATTTGCAGAGAACCTGGTCGAAGTTATTTCTAGAAGTCAGCGAGATATCAGTGGGCTGTGGTGGCACGGCTGCGGGCACAGTGCCTCGGAGTGGATGGTTTCCTGAGTGCTTCATGCCCTGTCTTTACCAGGTTTAACCTGGCTGCTAGGTAGCTGGATTTTCCAGTATTCTCCTTCCTGCTCAGAGAGGACTGATATCAATATATTGCTGGCCAGACTGCACCAGTCACCTTGTTCAGCTAGTAGCTGGCACCAGCCTACTCACCCATGGGGTGCATGGCATCTGTACCACACACAAATCACCATCACTGAGGGGATTTTTAAATCGCTGGATGGGAAAGGGTGTGTGAAAATAACACCTGATGTGAGCTCGTAGTCCTGAATTCCTTTGTTCGCTCGAATTCTGATCAGCAGTCATTCAAATCACTTCCCACCCCACAGCACCTCATCCCTCTGACTCCCAAATGCACTGCATTTCTCAGTCAGTTATCAGTTTGAAACCACACACAAAAAGACTCTAGCTATCAAAAAAAACACATAAAGCTCTCTTCAGGATTTGGAAAGCTGATGTTATGAGGTTACATGTGCGTTATAAAAGTTATGTCAAAAAGTAGGAACAATTACCACCCATTGTTGCCCAATTGTTTCATAGTAGTATGTGCAATAGTTATCATGCAAGGTTTACATTAGACACAAGAGTACACAACTTAATAACAGTCCACAGTAATACAACAGCTCAAGGAGACATTCCAAGAAAGTTAAAAAAAATTCAGTTAACACCAAACAACAGAGAACCAACTGGATCTTTAAAAGTTGTTGCTTCAAGGATTGATACCTAGCAACTTATTCCAATGACTCGATTCACCTGTGAAATCTCTCAGTGGAGGGTTTTAACATTGATTGTGTCGATTGTAATGTATTCTTACCTGTCACACAAAATGAACAATACAGTTTTGTTTTTAGATCACAAGCCAGTGCATATGGGTACCTTTCAGTTTCACCAGGACAGGGTAGCTATGGGTCCTTGCATCGTTATTTGCCAAAGATACTAGGGCAAGACATTGCAGAGATATACACTCTCCCTCACTGCTTCATAGGCAAACAGCTCCCATCCACTTCTCAGGACATTGGCATCGCATGGCACCGTTGTGAATTTTGCAGCAAGTTTGTCATAAAATTGTGCTTTGTCTATTGTGCTGAGGTCAAAGACAGAGTCTGGGGAGCAGATTGTGCAGCAACAATATTTAATTAATGCCCTTTTCAACAGTAGCAGATGCACGAGATGGTTATGCTCCACCAGAAACCATCGATTGGGTCAGATGCCTGTTTTTCCTCACATTAGTTGCCATGCTGTTCCAAGGGCTCAGGGTTTGAGTAGGACGGGGGCTGGGGTTCATCTGCCTGTCCACCTCTGGCTGGTAAGGGAACTCCATCCTTAGCTGAACGGGATTGCAGTGCTTTAAATGTTCAAGCAGCAGGTAACTGTGCGTATTCCAACCAGGCCATGTGTATGAATAGATTATCAGTTTCCTACATATATTTGATGTGTGTGCTAATATTGGCTCAGTATTGATCTGGTACCTAAACATTCTTAATCCCGCAGGAGGCACTGTTTTATCTAAGGGCAGGTTTCTAGGCTTCCGGCTCACTTTTTAAAGTCCAGACGACGTCATTAATACAGGAAGAGTTTGCTCAAATTTGAGTGTAGCTTCGAATCCTATTACGACCTCAGAACTGTTCTGAACATGAGTGTCATTAATGGTAAGGGATTTCTGGTTCTTGCTGGTGCAACTGAAGGTGACCACCCTGCCTCCCTTTCTGAGAGTAGCTATGCTGGTGCGTTAAGCTGGGACCAGGGTAGATAGAGTATAAGGGGATTTTAAACACCAGTCGGTGACCATTTCCAGCACAAGTCCACCTCACCGCCACCCGACTAGGCCCATCAACCTGGTGCCTGGGTTTTGCTGGGAGGATTCTAAAGGAGGTCTTGAAGTATGGGCGTGAATCAGGATAGGAAATAAGGTTCTTGTGCTAAAAAAGTGCTTTTGAAAGGCCCAGGACAGGAACAACCTTTCTGCTTGCAACTCCCACCTGGCCCCCGAAACACCACCCCACCCCCCCCCCCCCCCCCAACCCCTACCCTCTGGAATGTTTAATTCAATCCCTTTTGGTCCCTGAAGGAAGAAGATATTCTGACATGGAAATGTTTGGAGCATAGGTCCACGGCCTTCTGGAATGGACATAGTAATATCTGTGATATCCCAACTCCCCAAACACCTCACTGACAAACTGGGGAAATGCTGTTCTGAAGGGTGCTTCCACGGGCCTGGCTTAGCAGCTGATGCTGCTCATTTCCCAGAATACTGTGCGTTATTTGACCATGGACCCACCTCGCAAGATCTACACATTTGACTTCAAGGAAGGTAGGATGTGGGCGAGTATGTGATATCATCGCTGGACTAAAGCACTTGTGGATTTCACTAAACGGCAGTAGAGTGCGCATAAAGCTGGATCACATCCCTGAGAATGGCCAGCCCTGAAAAGTTTGGCCAATAACACATGCTTGACGGTAATACTAATTGTACTGACTTGGCAAACACCAACGTGGCACATCAGGGATCTCAAAGTCCTGGCTGTGCAGTGAAGGAAATTCAATTAAGCTGCTGTACAAAGTGAGTAATAAACTGAATGGCACACACAATTCTCTGTCAGGTTAAAGGCCTAGGAGGGGAGCGGGATGTTGGGGCTGCATGTGGACCGACTGTGACCTTGCACTTGCGCTGGATTTAGTTCTACCCGCTGGGGTCCCCCCACCTCATTCCCAGATTTTGGAAATCTGAAAAGTACTAATACACAGTTACTGGTAAAACCCAAACAGAATCCCCTTCACCAGCTCCAGGATTCACTATTTGGACCTTACACTAAACAACCACATTTAGATGAAAAGAACGAAAAAGGAAAAAGATTTTGACGTGTTTTTTGTTTGTTTCCTGTCGGATGAACAATCTCAGCAGAAGCGCATTTCAGGAGGGAGGGAGCTCATGGGTGATGGGATTGGGTGTCCCTCTTTTTCTGTCTCTCTCTTTCTCTCTCTCTCTCTCTGTGTCCCCTCAGCACTCGCGGTCCCATGGTTCCTCCTCAACAATTGTGTAGTCAGCAGCTGTGCCATTTTTGGCCATAGTCACCTGGAAGTAATGAGGAGGGAAATCTAACTCAGGGGCAGCAAGGCACTTCAGATAAAGAGAAATATCGAAAGCAAGAGAGCAGGAACAAGTTGCACACCGAAAGTTTTCTGTAGGGTGACCAGTATTGGAGCCCAGCGATGTTACTGAACTGACACAAACCTCCTCAGTATTGAGCTAAAAATGATGAGGGTGGTTTCAGTTTGACAATACACATGACAACAGACCAGCCACACATTATACATCACTCTTGATTCTTTCATTGGAATAAAAATTGAGATTGCTAATGAAAAGCAACTGAATTGATATTGCCCAGATCACTCAAAATCAAGCCCCTCCCTCCCCTGCCTCAAGTATTGAGGCCATGTCTCCTTTCATCAATCTTCTAAAGCAACTCTTCAGAAAAAAACTCAAATTCACTTCATTGTGCGCTGCTGTATCATGTATGCCTGTACACTCCATCTCAAAATTTCTCTTTGAGGTCTCATCTGTCAGGCAGGCATGTTAAATCTCTCATGATTCTGACCAATGGCCACCATGAGAAGTGCACAGTTCCAGGCATGGTGGCCATGTTTGATTCTCCCTGCTTCATAGTGTCAGAGAGGTCTATAGTACAGAAAATGATCCTTTCACCCATCAAACCTATGTTGAAAATGACTTCCTATCATCATCTCCTTGGTCCCTTGCTCTGTCACTTTCTCAAGCTGCCCTTGAAAGGGTGAATGATGTTTGCTGACACCTATGTGGCTGTTTACGGTCAGGGTTAATGTTAACAGGAGCAGCAAGGTCTGTGCCTCTGGCAGTGTTGCAGTGTGCTCATCACTATTGAATTAAAGAGACCACATCAAGCCCTGTGATTATTTGGAGTAACATATTCTATATTTTTATATATTGTTGTTTTCAGCTAGGAGTCACCTTTGGTTCAACTGCCAACTAATAAGACGACTGCAAGGTTTTAAATTAGAGCTTTGGTTTGTAATATCTCACTTAAGGGACAACACCTCTGACAGTGCAGCACCCACTCAGTACTGCCCTGGGAGTCTGGGCCATGACCGTGCTCTGCTTCAGGATTTGAACCTTCTGACTGAGCAGAGTAAGCGTGTCACCAACTGACATTTTGACAAAGGGAATCTCCAATTCAAAGAACATTGAGTGGTGCAGCAAGCATACAGCACAGGATGATCCGAATCCTGTTTTAGGATTTAATCTTGGGATTAGTCTTAGTGGCTTGTGTTATACTTATTACAGAATCTCTATAGTGTGGAAGCAGGCCATTCAGCCCATCAAATCCACACTAACCCTCCGAAAAGCATCCCACCCAGACCCAACACCCTAGCCTACTCCTGCAACCCTGCGCTTCCCATGGCTAATCCACTAGCCTGTACATCCCTGGATACTATAAGCAATTTAGCATGGCCAATCCACCTAACCAGCACATCTTTGGGATTGTGGGGGGAAACTGGAGCAAAACCACATAGACACAGGGAGAATGTGCAAACTCCACACAGACAGTCACCCAGGGGTGGAATTGAACCCAGGTCCCTGGCGCTGTGAGGCAGCAGTGCTAACCACTGAGCCACCGTGCTGCCCTTAATAGCATTAACTTAATAACAACAATCTTATATTTTGGGGGTGCGAATGTGGGGCGTAATTTCAGAGGCCACAGTCACCAAAAGAACAGCTTCCTGTGAGTGCAAGTTGAGTTGAAGTGATTTTGAGTTTTTTTTTTGAAAAATAAAAATGCTTTTTTGTTCTTCTTGGCTGAATATGAAACCTAAAGTCTCAATCCGCTCCTCATTCATCCAGCTCCGAAGCCCACAGTTCAGCAAAGGCCCTGGGATACTCGCGAGGACACACACACTTGAATCCCAAGGGACAGAGGAAGCAAAGATGTTCATAGCAGAATGCGTTCATCAGTACACACAGACAGTGAGGGGGTGAAATGAATAGACATATGTAGAAATACAGCCATATACATTACAGACACATGAACTCAACAAACGCTTGTGATGAACATAATTCATACAATAACAGTCCCTATACCCCAAAACACCAGTCTGGCCGGCAGAGCTACACATTGCAATCAATGGCTCACACCTCTGATGCCTACATTTGTCTAACATTCACGAGATGTGGCCATTGTTTTGTAGAGAATAAGAAACCCACATTCAGCTTTCTGCACTGAGGCTTCAGGGATTCTGGAGTTCATGTAGCTAAGTCAAATTCATTTTGGTAAAAGCTATATTGGCTCACCCCTTGAACTGGCTCAAATCCTACAGGTTTTACAATCACATCATGTCCCAGCTTATTTAGATTCATGTTAATTCCCGGGAAACAATTACAAATTGAAAAAAGGGGAGGTAGCACTTATTCTGATCCTATGAAATTATCTGAAAGACCTCTCTTTGTCCCTGTACCTGGGTGTCCATGAGTATCTTTGCTAATCATGATGTGTACCTCACTGGGACAAACATCACTGCCTCACTGAATCTCACCATCAGGGTTCAGTGGAGATTGTAAAGGACATTTCCTCATTTTTAAAGAACAAGACAGAAGGATTGATGTGAGAGATGCTGGGACTTTATTTGAAAATGTGACTAGCACAATGCACAAAGCCTGTGGTGCCTGCCACTCGTGGGCACTGGGTCAACATGGGAGATACCTGGCACCTCAACTTCACTATCCCGGGGATCTCAAGGAGCAACACTCTCTCTGGGCCGCTCAAAGAACATTTCTCCCTCCAATCTCCGATTCTGGCCTGTCTCACCCTTTCACTGATCATCACCATGCACTCAATCACTCATTCCTTCCTCAATTGCTGACCCTTCCCTCAATCACTCACCCCCTCGATCACTGATCCCTCACTCAATCATTGACCCCTCCCTCAATCACCGACTTCCTCAATCACTGACCTCTCGCCCAATCACTGACCCCTCCTTCGATCACTGGCCCCTCCCTCAATTACTCACCCCCCGATCACTGATCCCTCCCAATCACTGACCCTCCCAAACACTCATCCCCCAGCATACCCTCCCTCGATCACTGACCCCTCCCAATCACTCACCCCCCCCATCACTTACTGCCCCCATCACTCACCCCTCCCCGATCACTGACTCCTCCCTCAATCACTCACTGCCCTCGATCACTGACCACCCTATGCCCATCAGCTTGGGAGTTATCTTCTTGCTCATTTAGAGGTGGTTTTTCAGTTTACCATGTTGACTAGTTCCACCCCCTGGCTTTCTCATTCCCTTCTGCTCCCACTTGCTAAGGAGGTTAGTTTGCTCAGTTGGCTGGGTATCTGGTTTGCAAAACATCCACCAGTGCGGGCCCAAAATCCTTACGCCAGCCAAGGAGGTCACCATGATGACCTACACCACCCCTTCCATTCTCAACCTCACTAAGATGTGGATAGCCTCAGATTAATGTCACCGCCCATGGTCTCTCCCTGTGTTATGCTGACCCAGAGGTGGGAACATACAATACATCTTCTCCTTCCATTGCCAGTGAGACCCTAGCTTTAAAAGTACAAAAAGATTCTCGATAAGTTAAATTATATATGTTTTCATCAATCAGTACAAAAATACTTTATAATGGATGTATTTCATCTACATAATCTGTTCTCAGAAGGTTATAAGGGATGTGGCATTAAATTCAAGAGTCTGGAAGAGGCAGAGTAGACACCATTGTAACAAATGGACACTCCCTTTATCTCTTTATGGATTTTGTGAAAGTTCTAGCCACTGTGAGAGTTGAGGTATAGGTCGACTGCTATAACAGACAGCTGGGAATGGAGACAGCTGGATGGAAACAGGCAGTGTTAAATGCAGGTCTCGATATCGGTATATATCAAATGTACCTTGCCATCCTTCCCTTCCACCGTGTTGTTGCCTGAGTAATTGCCAGGGTTCGAGTTATTCTCCTGGTAGGCTTTTGTGCCATCATGCATCACGACAGCCTTCAGCAACCTCTCCTCTTCGAGCCGGGCATGCTGGGCGTCAATGTTTGCCAGTTCATCCCTCGAAAGATGGAAGACGATGCCAGCTCCAAAAGAGTCACCAACGACATTCACAGAGGTCCTCATCCGGTCTCTGCAATGAGACAGGCAAAAAACAAAGACGACTACTCAGACTCCCATGGCAACAATGTCTGAGGTGACACCGCCACCTCACGATGTTGTGGGCACACACACACACGACACACACCATGTTTCTCAAAGTGAGTTTGTACAGTGCTCTCCTGAAGCACCGTCAACATCCATAAACAAAAACTACATTCCCATAGTGCTGGTCACCACCTCAGGATTTTTGAAACTGCTTTTTTTTTTCTATTCATTTGAGGGATGTGGGCGGCGCTGGCTGGCCAGCATTTCTTGCCCATCCCTAGAGCCATGAGGTAACTTTTTTTTTGAAGTGCAGTCACTGTGGTAGAAAACATGGCATCCAATTTGCATACAGGATACTTGTATTTTTGTGTGTGTGTGTGTGTGTGTGCCTCTGTCTATGTGTCTTTGTCCGTGTGTCTGTGTGTGTGTGTCTGTCTGTGTCTGTGTGTTTTTATAGGTGTGTGTGTGTGTGTGTGTGTGTGTGTGTGTATTAGCTCATTCCAGCCTCTACATGTACTTAAAAACAGGCCTGGTATTATGTGATGGTGGGGGTGATAGTGTAGGGTGGTGGGTGGACAGGGCTGAAAACTCAAGATATAGTGGGGAGTTCAGGTTGGGAACTGGAACTGACGGAACTGATGTGCCCATCCCAAAGAACCAGCTGGGAAATTTGGGAATGTTGTGTACTTTGTTTGAATATTGAACTAAGAGCTGGGGTATTGTTTATGTATCTTACCCAAATTCTACCGGGGAAGTGTGTAGACCTGTCCACAGTGAAATTGGAGAATGCAGGCAGGTAGTTGACATACCTGGGACTGTAATGCTGCTGCTTCTGCTAAAGACACACTGGTTGATTTCGGAATGATTGAGGGAGGGGTCATGAATGCCCTAGCCTCTCCGTGTCACTGAGAGAAATAATTTGATTCAGGTCCTCTGACAGTGGAGCATCTGAATTGATAAAACCATAAGAAATAGGAACAGGAGTAGGCCATTTGGCCCCTTCTAGCCTTTTCTACCTTTCAATTGGGTCATAGCAAATCCAACATTCCTCACGTCCATTCTCCTGCCCTTTCTCTGTAACCCTTGATTCCCCAACTGATCAAGAACTTATTGAGCTCAGCCCTAAATATACGCAAGGTCTCTGCCCCCAGAGTTCTCTGTGGCAACCCTCTGAGAGAAGTTGTTCCTCCTCATCTCAGTCTTAAATTGGCGACCCTTTATCCTGAGACTATATCCTCTGGACCTAGACTCTCCCACGGGGGGAAACATCCTCTCAGCATTTACTCTGTCAAGCCTCTTAAGAATCTGAAATGTTTCAATGGGATCACCTCTCCATAAGACCATAATACATAGGAGCAGAAATTAGGCCATTCAGCCCATCGAGTCTGCTCTACCAATCAATCATGGCTGGTAAGTTACTCAACCCCATTCTCCGGTTTTCTCCCAGTAACCCTTGATCCCCTTGATAATCAAGAACCTATCTATCTCAGTCTTAAATGTACTCAATGACCTGGCCTCCACAGCCTTCTGTGCAGTGAATTCCATAGATTCACCACTCTCTGGCTGAAGAAGTTTCTCCTTATCTCCGTTCTAAAAGGTCTTCCCTTTACTCTAAGGCTGTGCCCTTGGGGCCGAGACTCTCACCACTCATTCTTCTAAACTCCGGTGAGTACAGACCCAACCTGTTTAGCTTTTGCCCATAAGGCAATCCTTCCAGACCAGGGATCGTCCTAATGAACATTCTCTGAACTGCCTCCATTGAAATAATATCTTTCCTTAAATAAGGGGACCAAAACTGCTCACAGTACTCCAAATGTGATCTCACCAGCACTTTAGTACATTTGCAGTAAGACTTCCCTACTCTTGTACTCCAAACTCTTGAAATAAGGGCCAATATTCCATTAGCCTTCCTGATTACCTGCTGCACCTGTGTGCTAGCTTTCTGTGTTTAATTCACAAGCATTGCTCACTCCCTCCGTGTTGCAACTTTCTGCAGTTTTTCTCCATTTGAATAATGCTGTTCTCTGTTCTCCCTTCCAAAAAGATCAATTTCACATTTTCACACATTATACTCCATTTACCAAACTTTTGCCCACTTACTTAACCGGTCAATATCTCTCTATAAATTGTTAGTATCCCTCTCATAGGTATCCTCCTGGGCCTGCCTATTTTTGTGTCATCTACAAATTTGGCTAAAATACGTTCTCTTCCTTCCAAATTAGGAGCAGAGGTAGACCGTTCAGCCCCTTGAGTCTGTTCTGTCATTCAACACAGGACCGTGGCTAACCTGCTTGTGCTCTGAAGTCCACATTCCCATCTACCCCTGCTCAGCCTTGATTTCTCTATCTAACAACACTCTGTCCATCTCTGTCTTACAAAGAATGATTCCCACCGACACCCTCTTCTGAGGCAAAGAATTCCAAATCGCTCGCTCTTCGCGAACAGAAATTCCTCTCCTCTCTGTTCTAAAAGGCTGGCCCCTGATTTTAAAACTGTGAGCCCTTAGTTCTTTATTCACCCACAAGAGGAAACATCCTTTCCACATCCACCTTGTCAATACCATTCAACATCCTATACACTTCAATCGAGTCACCCCTCATCTTGTGAACTCCAGCCCAGACAAGCTACATCCTTCCTCATAAGACAACCTGCTCATTCCAGTATCAAAATACTAAACGTTCTCTGAACTGTCTCCAACACATTTACCTTAAATAAGGAGACCAAAATCCTGCACAACGTATTCAAGATGAGGTCTCACCAATGCCTGGATAAATAAGGCACACTGTCTTTACCTTTATGTTCAGTTCCCTTTGGAACAAAGGATAGCATTCCATGAGCACTTTTCATTATGGACAGACGCTTTTTTTGTAACTCCTGCACTAGATCACCCAAATCCCTTTGTATCTCAGAATGCTGCAGTCATTCTCCATTTCTTTAAAAAAATTATTGTTCCTTAAAAGTGAATAACTTCACATTTTGCCACATTATTTGGATTTGGATTTAGGCTTAGATTTTATTGTCATGTTTACTCAAGAACAGGCATACACTGAAAAGTGTACAATGTCACCACCTTAGGTACAAAGGTTCCTAGGTACAAAAAACATAGGTACAAAATCGTAACGTAGGGAAATAGATAAAAAGTTAAGTATTATACTGCCACTGCTAGATTTTTGCTCGTTCATTCAATCTATCAATAGCCGCCTGGGATGACACAGTGGCTCAGTGGTTAGCATTAGATTCCAGCCTTGGGCGACTGTGTGGAGTTTGAACATTCTCCCCGTGTCAGCGTGGGTTTCCTCCTGCAGTCCATAGATGAGCGGGTTAGGTGGATTGGCTGTGCTAAATTGCCCATAGTCTCCAGGGATGTGTAAGTTAGGTGGATTAGCCATGGGACATATGGGTTACAGGGACTGGGTGGGATGCTCTTTAGAGGGTCAGTGTGGACTTAATGGATCACACTGCTTCCACACTGTAGGGATTCTATGTATAACAGTGCCATTATATCTGCTTCACATCATACATCCCTATACTTCATTCTCAGATCACTGTAACAATGTGCTGTTAAACTGTTGGGGCTTGTCAGCTCACTACTGCACAGATGTACAAAGGATCCCAGGAATAATGACCCTAGCAGCACTGTTTGGGGGACTTTATTGATTGTTTGTCATCACTACTGGGCATAAATAGGTCATCAGGCATTATAGCAAGCTCCGTGTACTGTCGGGTTAGTCATCTCATTGTACCATACAAAACATTGCAGGCCGCAGGAGCTATGTCCAGCCCGTAAGTGACTGATGTATTTCTCCAGGACCTCTGACACAGATTGCTAAAATAGCTTGGCTCAGACACAGTAAGGGGTACAGGGAAAGGACTTTAAGTTTTTGAAGCTGAAATTAGGAGAATACAGAAATCAATCCAAAGTATTTAATTGAACTTTTGAACAGAAGGGTTTTTACTTACAGGAGCCAGTCAACAGCTACAAGGAGACTGATGTCTTGTGTGGGAAGGCCAACAGCAGTGAGAATCAACAGCATGGTGACCAGGCCTGCACTCGGTATACTCGCAGCTCCAATACTGGCCAGTGTAGCTGTCAAACTGTGAAGCAAATGTGAAAGAGTCTCTTTAGTGAAAAAGGTTGTAGTGTGGGCCGCTGTGGAACCAGTCAATGTCTGCCTCTGGTTTGGATCATTTTCTTCCAGTCACTGTCCCCACTCACTCCTCAGTTGAAGCTATTCTGCCCTCAGGTTGACCATTTTGTTATCTGGAAAGTTCTAGTCTAATCTAGTGCTTTGTTTTTTTGTGTTCCTATGTCTACGCTCCAGAGTGCAACTCTGTGCAATTCCTGGAATTCGAAGGCTATTAGCTGAGGTGGACCTTGTATAAAATTGATCTAACAATCCCCAGCCAGATATGGCTTGACCACATCTTTGAAGCCCATTGCTGTTTTCCAGCTAAACCCTTTTATTACTGCAGGACCTCTCTGGAGTGAGGACAACTCCAAACTTTAGCACAAATTGCCTCCTCCGTACTGTTTTCGTTTCATCATTAACACCAGGTCGGAAGGGTTCTCAGATTTTCTCATCCTCAAACCTGAGGGTTAATGTCGGCTGTCTCAGTCTTATCATCCACACTCCAGGGTACCCTGCTCCTCCAGCCCTACCAGGCTCCAGTCTGCCCTCACCTCATTCATTCTCTTCAGACACATGCTCTACACGAGACATGTTTCCAGCTCCTTGAGTTCCCAGCTCTTCAGTCAACCCCATTTCCTTCACTCAACACTCAAACTCAAAACACTGAACTGCTCTCTCCGCAGCTTCTGTTTATTTTAAAAGTAATGGTGATATTTAATATCAACGCATGAGCGTGCAAAGTTATGTTAATAGGCCTAGATGAAGAAGGATGAGAGAAATGTAACTGCTTCCTTTGACTCTAGAGAGAACGGTGAGGGGGATGGGTCTCACATGGGACCTGCCTTTAGGAGAGGCCCACGTGACTTCATACTAAATCTGCCCGGAGGCGAACGTTATCATGGAGACAGAAACTCATTCAAAGCCAGCAGCGAATGTTAATGTGGGGAACATGAATGATGCTGAGCTTACTGTTTCCTAGACTCTCAGAAAGTCTGAGCACCTCTGGAGGGTTGGGAATAATGGTGGGTGTGATAATTTAGTCATGTGAGAGATCAAAAACCAGATTCTCATTGTCAGAGTCAGACTTATCCAATCTGTCCTCCCCTCCCTTAAACAATGAGATCAACCTCTCACCAATAGGTCAAGAAGTCAATCTGCAGGCATCTCATTAAATACCCCATCCATGGAATTAGCTTCCCCTTAGCAATGATCCTCTGCTTAGTCACGATACTTGATGGTTCACAAATGCGATTGTAAAAGCCAGGCAGCTAGTTGGTTCTTTTGCTTCCAGTTCATTGCAGTCTTGCTCCTTTTAAAATAAAACTGCTACAACTGCAGTAGATGTGTGCCCATGTTGACCTGACATAATGGGCCGAATCTTCTGGTTTGTTTTTTGGCTAAGTCTGAGTTGGGTTGAGTTTGGATTGAAGGTTTCTTGCTGTGAGTCCTGGCAAGTTCCATCACCACATCTTACCAAACCCACCACGTTAATGACCAACCCCACCGCTATGGCACCTTTCACATCGGATTTTTGCTCCTTTTCATCATGCGCTGTTCCTGGAATAGCTCACCACTCAGCAAATATCCACCAAAACATTGGCTCCTCTGGCACCCTTGCCCTCTCTAAAATGCGCAGTGCACCCAGATGAGCACTGGCATTCTGAGGTTGCTCTTCTGATTGACAGTGAAGATGGCACCACATTTCCTTGACAGGGACCTGGAAGTTCTGGTGGATGGGGTGGGTGCAAAAGAGAGAGGAGTGGTCTTTGCAGAGGAGTCCACGCTAACAGATCCTGGTCTAAGATTACCACCCAGGTTAATGCTATCTTTGGGCTGTGCTGGAATGTCCTGTGATGTAGAAGGAAGGTCATTGACCATCTCTCCTCTGCCTTGTGTGCTCTCTGCCTCCTGTCAGTGGCTTTTCCAGTGATCACACGATGCTATACATCTGCTTTCAATTCACAGTGAAACAGAATCTCAACATTCCTCATCAACACCAATTCTGACATTCCCCCATGAAGGAATGGTAGAGTGGGAATTGTGTCCTGAATCACATCTTGTGATCTCTGATTTCAATAAGCATCAATGAAGAAGACAGATTCACTAAAAACCTCACCCTCCCCAAGGCACAGTGTCTAGGACTGCGAGCCATCACATTGTAGCTGCCATACTCTCAACACACAGGGTATAGATTGCCAGGGCAGGGCTCCTGTGGCACAGCAAGTGGTGGAGAAGAGGTCTCCTGGTAGCTGTTTCATGCTAAGGCCCACATGGACATTTCCTTTACGTGAGATCAGGATGAGTAATGTACAGGATCTGGAGGCTTAGGTGCAGCTCTCTGCAAATGACTGACCCATAGTACAGAAGGTGAGTCAGGATGTAAAAGACACAAAGATGTGTCAATGGCCCACCAAGTCTGAGAGGCCGAAGAGAACTTTATAACTATCCATTTCCAGGGTGACGGTGCTGGTTGGAGACCTGTTTCTGTTCCTGTTATTATTTCATTGGCAGAGGTGACTGCTGGCCCCCAGCTTGCTCTACGACACACTCCTCAAGCGTTGACTTGTTTCTCTATCTAATTGATCCACGTAATAAAATGGCGCAATGGTTAGGATATCCTCATCTCTGCAAGAGCTAGAGCTAATATTAATGCTAAAGCAGCTGCGATACACGATCTCAATGTCCTGGCCAAATAGTCCTGGCAGCAAAGACATAAAAGTCACCTCAGAGAAATCCACTCCTGTGTGAATATGACAGATTTGTCCCATATCCTGAGGGTTTCTGCCCTCACCATCCTTACAGATAGCGAGTTCAAATCCCCACCCCCTCTTGGTGAAAAAGTTTTTCCTCATTTCATAAAAACTCATCAGGTTCACTAATGTCATTCAGAGAAGGAAATCTGCTGACTTCACACAGTCTGGCCCACACGTGACTCCAGACCCACAGCAATGTGTTTGACTCTTCACTGCCCTCTGAAATGGCCTAACAAACCACTCAGTTGTATGAAACTGCTTAAAATTCTGCAGGAAGGTTTGGAAACAGTCGGACAAATCAGCATTAACCTAGGGACTGAAAAGAAAAATGGCAGAAACAGCCTTGGTGACCTTAATAACATCTGAGGACTAGTGCCAAAATCTGAGGACTAGTCTCACAGACTAGTCAAGCAACAGCTTGACAAGCCCACAGAATCATGCCTTATAGGCAATGTCCCAGAAAACACAAACACCAAGCAGACTCAGCAGAGGGGCCAGCACAGCGGTACACAGTTGGGAGGGAGTTGATCTGGGAGTCATCATCATTGATTCCAGATCCAATGAAGTCTCATGGCAGCAGGTCAACATAGGAACATAGGAAAAGGAGTAGGCTATTCAGCCCCTCAATTCTGTTCCACCATTCAATGAGATCCCCAGCTGATCTGAGGCCTAACTCCATATAGATATTAAGTAAGATTCCTGCTGATGACTATCTTCCCTCAGCTGATGAATCGGTATTCCTCTATGTTGAACAACACTAGGAGGAAGCACTGAGGGTGGTAGGAGTACAGAATATACTCTGGGTGGGGGATTTCAATGTCCACCACCAAGAGTGGCTTGGCAGCAGGACTACAGATTGAGCTGGTCAGGTCCTAAAGGACACAGCTTCTAGACTGGGTCTGCAGCAGGTGGTGAAGGAATCAACAAGAGGGAAAAACATACTTGACCTCATCCTTACCAATCTGCCAGCTGCAGTTGCATCTGTCCATGACAGTATCGGTAAGAGCGACTGTACAGTCCTTCTTCCTTCAGACTGAGAACACCCTCCATCATATTGTGTGGCATGATCACTGTGTAACGTCAGTAGAATAAACTGGATGGTTATAGCTCCAACAACACTCAAGAAGCTTGACACCATCATGGACAAAGCAGCCCACTTGATTTTTTTTGATTCTTGAATGGGATGTGGGCATCACTGGCAAGGCTGGCATTTGTTATCTATCTAGAGTTGTCCTTGAAGCAACTGATTATGAAGTTATGAAGACAGGGTTGGTTAAAATGAACTGGGGAACTAGTTTTAAAGGTAGACGGCAGATATGCAGTGACAGCCTTTTAAGGAGATATTTAATAACTCTTGGCAAAGATTTACCCAAATGAAAAAGACTGAGGAGGATCCATCATTAATGGATAACCAAGGAAATTCACTGAAAGAAACACTGTACAACTTCAAGGCAGATCAGAAGATTAGACAGATTATAAAAACCAGAAAAAAAACTGATTAAAAATTAATAAAGAGGAAGATGTTACAGTCTGAGGGAAAGCTAGCTCGAAATTTGGCACCAGATCAACAAGCATTCACTCCCTCCACCACCGACGCTCAGTAACAGCAGTGTGTACTATCTGCATGATGCACTGCAGAAATTCACCAAAGATCCTCAGACAGCACCTTCTAAACTCATGACCACTTCCATCCAGAAGGATAAGGGCAGCAGACACATGGGAACACCACCCCCTGCAGGTTCCCCTCCAAGCCACTCACTATCCTGATTTGGAAATATGTCACCGTTCCTTCAGCGTCACCGGGTCAAAATCCTCGAAATCTCTCCCGAGCAACATTGTGGATCTACCTACAGCACATGGACAGAAACGGTTCAAGGAGGCAGTTCACAACAGAGATGTTGAGAGTCCTAGGCTAAGCAGTGCTGCTTGAACCTTCGGCGAGGTTGCACACTGAGACAATCTCCATAAAAAGTATAGTTTGCACGCTGGTCCCTCAGACGTGACTTTCCACAGGTTCAAATAGAAGAAAATCTGGTGGTTTGGGATGACTGTAATTTTGGATTTCAGTGGGAAAAGATGATATTGTTACCTGATTCACGAGAAAACCAGTAAATGGACAGTGCTTTCCACTGTTGTGAAGAGGACAAAAAGAAGTGCTTTCAAACCCACCTCACTGTCACTATCTGTCCAGCATCCAAGTGAATATTGTTCATCTGGGCAATGAATATAGCAGCCACAGCCTCGTAGAGAGCAGTTCCATCCATGTTGATGGTCGCTCCGACGGGAAGGACAAAGCGGGTCACTCGTTTGTCAATTCCCAGATTTTCCTCCAGGCAGCGGAACGTGACTGGCAGAGTGCCAGCACTGTGAAAAAAAAAACAACAACACATTGATACAATTATATCCATCTAACATCACCATCAGCTTCATATCCATTAACCTGTCGTCCCACTTTGCCATTACCTAAGGGTCAGCTCTTCTGTATAACCTGCTCCTGTCTTCTCAATTCCATTCTACTTAACCTGCATACCTTTCTCACCTCCCTGATGCTGGTTTCCTGTTCCTTACTCCATGTTCCACATTGCTCTTAGCTTTTTGCTTTCTCCTTCATGCTCCATCCTGTCTGATGCCTGCTCTCGACTAACCCAGCATTTTCTGGTTCCTTTCCTCAGGCTCTGCCTGGATTATGTCTGGAATTTCCAGGTTAGGTCCAAAGCCTGGCTCACCTGGATGAGTGTGATTGCCAATGTGTTTAATAATTCTAAAGCCATTACTCCTGTCCCTCAATTTATTTGTGTAACTGGTCATTGTCCTTGCTACCATCTAGGGGATTGTGTTGAATTCCTGGACACCGTGGAAGAATCTGAGAAACCTGGAAACCATGTGCCTATTGTGAATTTGCATACAGTATTTGATGTTTGTAAAATGACGGAGGGATGGAGGAAGAGTGCATGGTCCCTTTAAAGGATGATGTGTTTTTTTCTAGGCTTGGAGATTTTTAAAAAATGTGCAGGTGCACAGAGAGCTCCTGAAATTAAAACATTGAATCAAAAGGCTGATGGTTAGAAACCCAGGCAGTAGTCTTGTTTTGTTAGCAAGGCAACCAGTTTGAATATCAACCAATTAATTTAGACCAGGCACTTAGAAACTAAAAAACAATTAAAATTTAAACCTGATGGTTTTGACAACCTAGGACCAATCTTATTGTAAGAAATTAATAGGTCATCAAAGGTATAAAAGAAGAGGGCATTTGAAAATCAGTGTGAGAGTGAACTGCCATCTGAAACGAAACTCACTGGCTCTCACAGGAATCTTTAAGCTCTCAGAGTAAGCACCATTTAAATAAAGGTACCATGGCACTCTTAGCTAAATTCCTGACACAAGAATTCGATGGAGAAAGGTGTTCCTGACCGCAGAACGGCAGTGAAGGCAAAGAACATTCCTGAAGATTTATCCTGACTGTAATTTCGAGAGATTAAGTTTTAATTTTTTTTATAAATTTGGTTTATATAAGTGGTACATGTATCTATTGGAATAGCATACCATTGGAATTTTATTTTATTCGGGAACAGTTAGTAGTTAAGGGGGAATTGTTCGGTTTGTTAGTAGTTCTGTTAATTTGTTAACTGTTAGAGCTAGATAAATAAATTGTTACTTGTTGATTGTAGAGTGACTATCAGGAGTTCATTTTATTTCATCTCTCCTTTATAACAGATTGGGAGGTGAGAGGCAGGTTATACCACTTTTCACAGATCCTCTAACAGATTATAAGGCGAGGTCAGCTTCTCTGGGTGTTTCGGTTTTAATTATCAGGGAGGTGTTGACCTCCCTTCTGCTTTGTAACAGTGCCATTATATCCTCTAGTGACCCTTCCTCCTGTACACTGTGGAAGCTGGATCTGTTCAGCTCATATTCAGACCCCTCTAATTCAAACAAACATTTTCCCTTTTCCCTGATAAAAACAACAAACAGCAACATATTGTCGTAGTACCTGGAAGCAGTCCCTAAGGCAGTGATCCAGGCCTGGAAGATGCCTGCTAAGAATAAGAAAGGATTTTTTCTCGTGACCACAAAATATATCAGAGGCAAGATGATGCCTCCGTGGATGATCAGCCCTGTGATGACAGTCACCATGTACATGCCCAGTTGCCTAGCAACGACCTCCAAGTCTTTAATGGCCACAATCTTTCCACAGATTAGGCAGGCGATACCAAAGGGCGAGTACCTTTAATAACACAAAGGAAAACATTAAAGGTTAGAGCTCAGAGAGGACCTTCAAAGATTAGCACCTGTTGTGGGTCAGTGGTAGCACTCTGACCTCTGAGTCAAAAGGTCATGCCTCACTCTCAGGAATTTGGTATGAAACATGGCCAATACACAGGCACAGGTGAAATGTTCAACTGCGGGCCTGAGATGAATGTCTGACTCCTGTTCTTATACTTGCTGTCCTGGCTGTGTGCAAGTACTCTGCCTTATTATTAACATTTTATTTTATATCATCGCATGTATGCTCCCCCTCCCTCTCAGGGGAACAGTGGCAAAGGTATAGGATTATAACCTACACCATGAATATACCAAGTCCAGGCATGCGATTTGAAACTGGAACATCAGAGTAGAGACACTGACCCTCTCCCACCAAGACCTCCATAGCCATATCATGAAGGCTGTAACATCATGGGGTATATTTCCTGAGCATGCCCAATGTCAGAATGCTGTATTAGAACACAGGCTAACAGCAGTATGGTGCAGTCCCTAACCCACTGCAAATTCTCGTCTCTACTTTATCTATTATTTACCATCGGTTCCCTGTGCATGATGAAGATTAATAGCCAGGAAATTTCAGCAAATAACTCCCAACAAGCTCAGAGACTATGGAAGGTTTTTTAGGTGAAAGTCAGTACCGAAATTCTTTTGAACATTATACTTATCAAATTTAACGACCTCATGTTGAATTCAAAACAATGTTCCCTGGTTTCAGAATCTTTTAATCACCCAACTGAGGGGACCAGGGATGTTGTGACCTTGGTCAAAAAGAATAAGGAAGCATATGTAAGATGTGGGAGGATGGGAACTGACAAAGCCCTTGAAATATATAAGGAAAGTAGGAAAGGACTTAATCAAGGAAATTGAAGGGCTAAAAAGGGTAATGAAAAGTCATTAGCAAACAGGATTAAGGAGAATCCCAAGGCCTTTTATACATATATAAAAAAACAAGATGGTAGCCAGGGAAAGGGTTGGCCCACTCAAGGACAAAGGAGGGAATCCATGTGTGGAGCCGGAAGAGGTAGGTGAGGTCTTAAATGAATACTTTGTGTTGGTATTCACCAAAGAGACGGAATTGGTGGAGGATAATCTCGGGATAGGCTGTGTTGATTTTCTAAGCCGAGTTGCTGTTAAAAAGGAAGAGGTGTGTTTTATGTCTTAAAAGTATTAAGGTATATAATTCCCTGCATTCTGATGGGATCTATCCTAGCATATTGAGGGAGGCAAAAGAACAAATTGCTGGAGCATTGATGGACATCTTTCTATCCTCTTAGGCCACAGGTGAGGTCCCCAGAGGACTGGAGAATAGTTAGTGTTGTCCCACTGTTTAAGAAGGGTAGCAGGGTAATCAAGGAAATTACAGACCTGTGAGCTTCACATTGGTGGTAGGGGAATTATTGGAAAAGATTCTCAGGGACAAGATCTATACGCATTTAGAAGCAAACGGACTGATTAGTGATAAACAGCATGGTTCTGTATGGGGGAAGTCATGCCTCACTAACTTGATAGAGTTTTATGAGGAGGTGAAGAGATAATTGATGAGGGAAAAGCAGTCGATGTTGTCTACATGGACTTCAGTAAAGCCTTTGACAAGGTCTCTCATGGCAGACTGGTACAAAAGGTGAAGTCACATGGTATCAGGGTGAGCTGACAAGATGGATACAGAACTGGCTTAGTCATAGGAGACAGAGGGTAGCAATGAAAGGATGCTTTTCAAAATGCAGGGCTGTGACTACTGGTGTTCCACAGGGATCAGTGCAGGGACATCTTCTGTTCATGGTCTATATAAATGATTTAGAAGAAATCTTAGATTGTCTAATTAGCACGTTAATGGTTGATACAAAGATTGGTGAAGTTGCAGATAATGAGGAGGATTGTCAGAGGCTACAGCGGGATATAGATCAGTTAGAGGCATGGGCAGAAAAATAGCAGATGGTGTTTAATCTGGACAGATGTGAGGTAATGCATTTTGGAAGGTCAGGTACAGGTGGAAATTATAGCGAATGGCAGAACACTTAGGAGTATTGTTATGCAGAGGGATCTGGGTGTGCAGTCCACAGATCATTGAAGGTGGTAGCACAGGTCGATAAGGTTGTAAAAATGGACTATGGCATGCTTGCCTTCATTGGAAGGGGCATTGAGTATAAGGATAGACAAGTTATGCTGCAGCGTTATGGAACTTTAGTTCGGCCACACTTGGAATATTGCATACAGTTCTGGTCACCACACTACATGAAGGATGTGGATGCTTTGGAGAGGGCTCAAGAAAAGATTTACCAGGATGTTGCTTGGCATGGGGGATTTTAGCTATGAAGGAAGGTTGGAAAGAATGGGTTTGTTTTCACTAGAACGCAGGAGGTTGAGGGGCGACGTGATAGACACACACACTCACTCACACAACTCACCCTGGCACACACACATTCACTCCCCCTCTCACACACACACACACACACACCCAATGGGCAGTTTGGAGGGGTGTGGTGTCAGGGGTTTTGAGGTTAAAACCAGCAGAGGAGGGGAGGGGGTAAGTGTGCCATTCAGGGGAGTACTATGCCAATCGTTTGGGGTGCAGGAGTTGTCAGGAACAGGGGGAAATCACTTCAGCCTCTGGAAATGTCAGCTCCCAGGTCTCAGGTCTGGGAGGGCTCAGGCCAGTGGGTTATAAGGGGTATATCTGGTCCGAGTGGAATTATCAGGAGAGGCTAGTTGGATTGCTGGGGGGGGGGATCAGGATGGGGAGGGGGGATAATGTTCCAGCTGGAGACCAGGATGTGTCATCTTCAGAGGTCAAGCCCACAGTGACAGTTGTGCGGGGGTTGGATTCAGGTCTCCAGTGGACAATGGGATCATATTGGGCGGTGGTTCTATCGGGGTAGGGTGATGGTCAGGGGTCCGGGAGAGTATTTGGTTCTGGAGGCAGTGGGATTCAGTCGAAGGGTTGAGTCTGGCATTCAGTTTAATAGTCATCCAGGAGTTGGAGAAGGTTTCAATCCAGTAACTTTTCCTGGATCACTATTAGCTTCACCTCACTTTGCATTCTCTGACTTTAATGGACTGTTTCCATTCCCATGGAGTCAGTGGTGTTTGAGATGCCTCATGGCCCTGGTGAGCATCTCCAGTCAATACAGGTCCAACCATTCACTGGTCATCGAGATATCGGGGCCGAGTTGTTGTTGCAAATTCATATCTTCCAACCAGGGAAGAAAGTTAACACTTATAACCAAGCCCATTAGACTGATTTCAGACAGATGCATCTATACATTCACAGGAACACTAAATCTTTAAGAAATGCCATTGATTAGATCAGACAAAACTCTCAACCAACGGCTGGGGAACCTTTAACATTAATTGAAATGTCAGTGACCCTGACACATTAAACATTTTTAGCTGAAAGAAAAGTGGCATGAGGTAAGGTTGGCAAAATGGCTCCCCTTTAAAAGTGAACAATTCGTTACAATTTAATTAACATCGAAAGTCATCCGAAGCAGGAAGATGTTGATGTTCTTCTGGCCGTGCAGAGTCCATTCTTGAGATTAACTGTGATGATTAGAAACAGACTGGTTCTTTAACCAAAGAGAATACTGGTGCAGTTCTTACCACATGATCATTATCACCAACTTCATGACAATCTCATTGAGGATGTTGAAGAATTCCACCATCAGCCTTGCCTTCTCCCCCATTTTCCCCATTGCGATACCGAAGGCAATAAAAAATCCAATTAGACCTAAAAAGGGGGCGAACCACAATTGTGTTGAGACTGGGAAAACATGGCTCTCTAAAGAGATGTCACTAGCTCATACAAACGTGTACACAATCCTGACAAAGAGTTTTTCAAGTGGGAGAACTTCTCGGGGAGATTCAGAAACGGGGATTCACCGAAAGGTTAACCATAGGCTGTATTCACAATACATTAACAAAGAAACAAAATGCTGCATGGATTGGTGCTGGGGGTTTCAGCTATTTATAAAGTATATTAGATGAGTTTAATGAAGGGATTGGGAGTACCGTGTCCAAGTTGCCGATATACAAAGCTAGGTGAGAAAGTAAGATGTGGGGAGGACACAGAGTTACGGAGACAATACTTACCATGACCGGAAGAATAGACAAACAGATTTTTTTAAATGATGAGAAACAATTAAGTGTTCATGTTGAGTCAGATTTGCGTCAGTGTACATTAAACTAAGAAAGTTAGACAGACAGGTGGAACAAGTGACCAGGTGAGAGCTTGGGCTTTAGTGCAAGGGGACTGGGATGCAAAGGGAGGAGGTCAGGCACAGGGCTATGGTGTGTCCACAACTGGAGCACAGTACATGGTTTTAGTCACCATGTCTAAGGAAGGGGATATGTGTCTCACAGGGGATGGCACGATGGCTCAGTGGTTAGCACTGCTGCCTCACAGTGCCAGGGACCCCGGTTAAATTCTAGCCTCAGGCAATGGTCTGTGTGGAGTTTGCACATTCTCTCCGTGTCTACATGGGTTTCCTCCCACAGTCCAGGGATGTGCAGGCTGGGTAGATTAGCCACGGGAAATGCAGGGTTACGGGGATAGGGTGGGTCTGGGTGGGATGATCTTCAGAGTGTTGGTGCAGACATGATGGGCCAAATGGTCTGCTTGCGTGCTGCTGGGATTCTATAAATGAGAACACACTTGATTAATTTCTGGAAATGAGAAGGTTGTCTGTTGAGGGGAGATTGGAGAAACATAGACACGTGCTCTGCAGTTTGGAGGTGATTTTCTTTGAAGCCTACTCAATTGTGGGAGGGTTTAAAGGGGTACATGCTGAGCAGTTATTTCCTGGATAAAAAATTCAGAACGAGGAGGCACTCTTTCAGAGACAGGGGTTGGCCACTCTGGCTTGAGATGAAGAGAAAGTTCTCTGCTCAGCAGAGTGTGAATTGTGGAAATTCTCCACTCCAGAGAGTTGAGGATGCTAACTCTTTAAGGCTGAGGGAGGCAGACTGCAGGCAGTCGAATGCAAGTGGGTGGTCAGTGCCCTATGAGACCCAGCCAGGACATTATTGCATAATATTGGAGCCATCTAGGGTCAGATGGAAACAGTGGGAGAGCAGAGCCACAGAACCGGACATATTCTGCAGAAGTAGTGGCACACTAGCAGCAAGAGAGAGCGACATCCATTTACATTGCAGTTGATTAAATCAGTATCTCTCAGGCCTTCCTGTACACAGAGATTTACACATTAACGTATGCCTCACACCCTGACTGGAAGGTACACCATGTCTGTCAATATGACAAATTCCACTCAGGACATTGCGTCAATGTGTATGTTTTAGTAGAGGTTTCTCTACACTCACATATAAGTGAGGGAATGAGACTGCAAACCACCAGGTGTGTAGGTATGTCAGGATCTCTCAGTCCCTATGGGTGATATATATTTACACCTATGGGCAGCATGGTGGTTTAATGGTTAGCACCCGCTGCCTCACAATGCCAGGGGCCTGAGTTTGATTCTACCCTGGGGTGATGGTCTGTGTGGAGTTTACACATTCCCTCCATTTTTGCATTGGTTTCCTCCCACAGTCCAAAGGAGGGATAGGGTTGGAGGGTGGGACGCTCTTCGAAGTGTCGGTGTGGACTCGATGGGCTGAATGGCCTGCTTCCACACCATAGGGGCTCAATATCAGCGGGACAGAGCATGAATAATACTGGGTGGGGAACAGTGGAAGTGTGTCTGGGGAGGCCTAGACTTTATAGAGAGGTGCTGCATAAGGCCAACATTTTGTTCCCTCATTTAAATATCTGGTACTCCGTAAGATGCAGAAAGACAACTGCTGAAGTGATCCTACCCAACACATTCATGCCATCCTTGAACTGCAAGCTCTTTGTAACAGTGAAACTGGGCCCCTCTGACTCTGCCAGAGTTTCATTCACTGCCTCCAGGAGGAGGCCAGTGAGGTTCGAAACATTTCTAGCTTCAGGAGGATTCTCCACCTTCTTGGTCACTGTTTGTATCTATTGGAGGAAAGAAGGCAAGTTAATGGCAAGATAAGAATAATTGTGTCCACATCAGAAACTTCCTGGATTTTAAAACATGGAGCTTTCAGACGAATGTTCAGGCTGGAAGGGTCAGTGTAGCCTTGATGGGCCGAATGGCCTGCTTCCACACTGTAGGCATTCTATGATTCCATGAGTGTTCAGAGGTTGGAAGTGTGCTCAGTGAATCATATTGGATTGAGTGGAGTCGCAGGTAAACAGGATAGTGAAGGAGGCATTTAGTATGCTTGCCTTTATCGGTCAATGCATTGAGTATAGGAGTTGGAATGTCATGTTGAGGCTGTATGGGACATTGGTTAGGTCGCTTTTGGAATATTACATGCAATTCTGGTTTTCCTGCTATAGGAAGAATGTTGTTAAACTTGAAAGGGTTCAGAAAAGATTTACAAGGACAGTGCCAGGGTTGGAGGGTTTGAGCTGTAGGGAGAGGCTGAATAGACTGAGGCTATTTTCCCTGGAGCGTTGGAGGCTGAGGGGTGACCTAATAGAAGTTTGTAAAATCATGAGGGGCATGGATAGGGTGAATAGACAAGGTCTTTTCCCCAGGGTAGGGGAGTCTAAAACTAGAGGGCATAGGTTTAAAGTGAGAAGGGTAAGATTTAAAAGTGACCCAAGGGGAAACTTTTTCACACAGAGGGTGGTGTGTGTATGGAATGAGCTTCCAGAGGAAGTGGTGGAAGCTGTTACAATCACAACACTTAAACATCTGGATGGGTATATAAATAGAAAGGATTGAGAGGGAAATGGGCCAAATGCTGGCAAATGGGACTAGATTAACTTAGGATATCTGGTCAGCATGGATGAATTGGACCGAAGGGTATGTTTCCATGCTACACAGCTCTATGATTATGACTAAGCAACAGATCACTGTTACTGCGCTAACCAGTTTTTAAACTGACATTTGGACAGAACCTGTTATTCCTCCTGCCATCCATTTACTATTCCTTCTGACCTTCTGCTCTCTGATGCTGAACATTCCATACTTAGCAAAGGTTTTCGTTTTATCCCTTTGAATTTCAGGCATAACATGATGTTGAACTCTTCTTCCAATACCTTCGCCTCCGTATCCATTTCTTTGGACAAGAGTTATTTCTGCGTCTCACAGACCCCTTTGCCCACCTACAGTACTCTCCCACTACCCAGAACCCTCCTACTAGCCTTTTATCTGCATTTGACATGTCCACTGAGAACAGTCAACGTGACACTGGTCGCCTCAATTTCTCTGCACGCCCCCCCTTACCTATTCCCATCTATCCTCCTGGGAACTGCCTGCACTCCATCCTCTCAAATCCAACCCTGACTTTGTAATTAAGCCTGCTGAGAATTGGTGATACCGTTGTTGTCTGGATTTCTGACCTCTACATTGCAGAGGCTGAGTGCCAACTATCAGATATCTGGGGAGGCAATGGCCTAGTGGTATTATCGCTGGACTGTTAATCCAGCGACCCAGATAACATTCTTGGGACCTGGGTTCAAATCCAGCCATGGCAGATGGTGGAATTTAAACTCAATAAAATATCTGGAATTAAGAATCTAACAATGACCATGAATCCATTGTCAATTGTGGGGGAAAAACCCATCTGGTTCACTAATGTCCTTTAGGGAAAGAAACTGCCATCCTTACCTGGTCTGGCCTACATGTGACTCCAGACCCACAGCAATGTGGTTGACTCTGAACTGCCCTCTGGGCAATTAGGGATGGACAATAAATGCTGTCAAGCCAGCAACATCCTCATCCCACTAATGAATAAAGGATCTCCTCCTATCTCCCCATGGACCATGCCCCTACCATGGAACATCAGGCTATTGTGTCCCATCTGGTCACCAAATGCATTTCATCGGGTGCTTCCCCTTTCCCCCTTTGCCTCCAAGCTGATAGTCTCCCAGTCCCGCACAGCTCACTTCTACCTCCTTCACAAAGACCACCCAAACCTATTGTTTCTGCCTGCTCCTGCCCCACAGAAGTCATCTCTTCCTTCCTTGACTCGGTTTTTTTCTTCCCTTGCACAGTCCCTGCCCACTTACATCCATGATTCCCCTGACCCTTTACACCAGTTTCAGAATTTCCAGTTTGCGGATTCCAGCAGCCTCCTCTTTACCATGGACGTGCAATCCCTTCACACATCTGTCCCCCACCAGGATGGTCTCAGGGCTCTCCGCTTCTTCCTGGAAAAATTCCCTCAACTGTCCCCACCCACCAGCATCCTCCTATACTTGGCTGAGCTCATCCTCACCCTGAACAAGTTATCTTTAAGCTTCTCTCTTTTTTTTCAGGTCAGAGGTGTTGCCATGGGTACCTGTACGGGCCCCGGCCACGCCTGTCTCTTTGTGGGGTATGTGGAACATTCCTTGGTCCAGTCCTATTCCTGCTCTCACCCATAACTCTTTCTCCGATATATTCACTACAAACCTACCAACTCCCACAGTTATCTTAACAATACATGCTTACACCCTGCTTCCTGCGCAGACTCTAGTCCATTCTCCCAGTTCCTTCGTCTCAGTCACATATGTTCTGATGATGCTTACTTCGACAAGGGACCCTCCGAAATGTCCACCTTCTTCCTCAACCGAGGATTCCCCAGCATCATAATTGACAGGGCCCTCAGCCACGTCTGCCCCATCTCCCACATTTCCGCCCTCACTCCCTCTCTTCCAACCCGCAACAGCGATAGGGTTCTCCTTGTCCTCACCTACCATCCCACCAGCATCCACATCCAGAGGATCATTAGCTGCCATTTCCACCACGGCTAGACACATATTCCCCTCCCTTCCTTGTCAGCTTTCCACAGCGACCACTCCCTCTGGGACACCCTGGCCCACTCCACCTTCCCTCCCAACACCTGCCCCCTACAGCCCCACGGCACCTTCCCCTGCAACTGCAGAAAGTGTAGCACCTGCCCATTTACTTCCTCCCTCCTCAGCGTCCAAGGGCCCAAACACATTTTCCAGGTGTAGCAGCACTTTACCTGCACTTCACTCAATCTAGTCTACTGCATTCGCTGTTCACAATGTGGTCTCTACACTGAGGAAATGAAGCAGCGCAGAACACCAACATTCTGTTCACAAAACAGACCCTGAGCTTCCAACTGACTGCCGCTTCAACACACTACCTTGTTCCCTGGCCAACATCTCTGTTTCAGGTTTGCTGCAGTGCTCCAGCGAAGCTCAGTGCAAGCTGAAAGGACAACACCTCATTTCCCACTTGGGAACCCTACAGCCTTCTGAATTCGATATTGAGTTTAGTAATTTTATTTTCGAGCACCTTCTCCCATGTCCTTACCCCAAATCTCATACACTAGACATGGGCTGCTACCGCAACTAACTTATTGTCAGCCACTAATGGTCCCCATTAGTAGCTGTTCATTTGCTCAGGTTGATCTTTACCCATTCATTTGTCTGCTTAATTGCTATTCTTTCTCTCTGGGCTCCATCTCCACCTACCATTTAGTCTTCCCCCCTCCTCTCAACCCATCATCAGCATGAATACCAATCTTTTCCTAGCTACCATCAGTTCTGAAGAAGGGTCACTGGACCCAAAATGCTATCTCTCATTTCTCTCCACAGGTGCTGACAGGCCTGCCAAGATTTTCCAGCAATTTCTGGTTTTGTTTTTGATTTCCAGCCACCGCAATTCTTCATCCTTTTCCCTCAATCAGCGGTCCACTGCACCGTGGTCTAATGTGAAATCTGTCAGATCATTGGAACAGGAGCAGGCTACCCCAGCCCCTGAAGCTTGTTTTGTCATTCAATCGGGCAATGACTTATCTCTACCCCAACCTCATTCGGCATCGTCAGCTCCAGGTCCCTTGATATCATTATCCATCAAAAATCTTTCAGATAATCTTGAAAGTTCCAACTGACTCAGGAAACATAACTGATGGGGACAGGTTGTTTCCCCTTCTGGGACAGTCTAAAACCAGAGGGTGCAATCTCCGAATAAAGGGTCACCTGTTTGAGACAAAGGTGAGGAGGAATTTCTTCTCTCAGAGGGTAGTCAATCTTGTGGAATTATTTGCTGCAGAGGACTGTTGAAGCTAGTCTTCAAGTATAATCAAGGCTGAGAGACTGATTTTTAATCAGTAATGAAATCAAGGGTTATGGGAATAAGGCAGGAAAGTGAAGTTGAGGACTATCAGATCAACCATGATCTCATTGAATGGTGGAGCAGACTTGATGGACAGAATGTCTGCTCTGCTTCACATCTTACGATCTTCTGAGAGAGAGATTTCTGGAATTCCTCTCCACACAGTTTGATAAAGCATTTTTTTAAATTATTTGACTGTCTGTTCTTCTTGTAAGATTATAACTTTTTGGTAGGGACTCCCAAACTACTGGAGTTGCTCTGGATTGAATCTAATCCAGCGTTCCATCTCATTCTTTTTTCTTGCACATGGACCTCGATGGTCTGTGCATGGCAGAAATGTTTGGAACCAGAAGTCAATTCTGTGCAGATTGCCTGGCGCAGAACATTAGAGCGACTGTGTACAGAGCTGCCCCGCTCCAAGGGAACATTGGTCAAATGCCTTCCTCATATTAAACACCTCGATCACTCTCAATCTTCTACATCCAAAGGCATACAAACTAAGTTCATGCAACCTGGCCAAATCATTTCACCTGTTAAATTCTGAAGTCACACTCGTTGTGCTGATTGTGTTATTTAACTTAGGTTTGCGGGTCTGCGATGCAGAGTGATGTCAAGACCGTGGGTTCAGTTCCTGCACTGGCTGAGGTTACCATGAAGGGGTCTCCTTCTCAGACCCACGCTTCACCTCAGGTTAAATCACAACCAGTCCTCTCTGTCTCTAATGAGAGAGCTGCCCTATGTTCTGGTAAGACTATGACAATCATAGCTTTTTTAGCTTACTAATGTAGGATTATCGAGTGTTAGACATTGTATGGGTGACCTGTACCTGTCTACGTAAGGTAGGTTGTACCTGACCACACTAAGCGCCTCATGC